TTACGACCATTTAAAACTTTCATTTTTAGCATTTAACTAAATTGGCTAAATCTCTTACACTAGGTAGGCGGAAACGAAAGAGTCCTTGTCCTTTATTTAGAGGTGTTGCATGGAAAATGAACTGTCCATATCCCTGCATCTGTAAATGTCCTGTAAACGAAGGTGTCCTGTGAAAAGGAGTCCCTTATCGGGTAGATATGGTATACAGTGAAATCTCTTGCTAACGCACGACGAATTTGCCCTTTTTTCGGGAGTTGTCCTCTAAAAAGAGATTTTTTACGATTTCAAAACAGATAGCAGCCGTTATGTAGCTTTTTTCCGACAAAATAACCTTTTCAATTTTAAATGAATTAGTTTAACATTAAATTAATTGTTTTTAACTTAAAATAATGTTTTTTCGTATCAAATAACTTTTTAAAACTTCAAATTAAGCTAATTGTAATTTTCAATTAGCCCGTTTTAACATCAACTAAACTTTTTGTATTTTTAAACTTCAAACTACCCTACTATAGTTTTAAATGAATCATTTTTAACTTCAAATTAACCTACTTTAATTGAAATTAATAATTTTTTAGCCACAAACCAATGTTTTTATTTCAAGTTAACCCTTTTTAACTTCAAATTAATCTTTTTTAATACTAAATTAATCATTTTTAAGTTCAAATTAAACTATTTTAATTTTAGATTAATATAATTAACTCAAAATTAGCCTTTTTTTTATTTTAAACGTCAAATTAACCTACTATAATTTTAAATTAATCATTTTTTACCGTCAAATTAATGTTACTTAGTTCAAATTAGCCCTTTTTAACTTCAAATTAACCTTTGTGATTAGAAATTAATCATTTTAAGCTTCAAAATAACCTATTTTAATTTGACACTAATTATTTTTAATTTCAAATAACGCTTTTTCATATCAAATAAACTGCAATTTAACATATTTTTATTTCAAATTAGTTCTTTTTAACATCAAATTAATTTTGTTATTTTGAAACTTCAAACGCCCCTACTTTAGTTTTAAAATTAACATTTTTAACTTAAAATAAACTACTTTAATTTAAATAAATAATTTTTTAACCTCAAATGAATGTTTTTTGTTTTTCTTTAATTTCAAATACACCCTTTATAACTTCAAATTAACCTTTTTTTAATTTTACATTAATAAAATTAATAATTTTTAGTTCAAATTAAACTATTTTAATTTTAAATTATTATTTTATACTTCAAATAACCTTTTTCACATTTCAAATCAACTTTTTTTAAACTTCAAATAACTTTTTAAATTTCAAATTAACCTATTATAATTAAAACGTTTAACTTCACATTAACTCTTTTTAACTTTAAATTAACCCTTTAATTGCAAAAAATCAATTTTAATTTTAATTAATTAATTATTTAAATATCCTTTTTTAATTTCAAATTACGTTTTAAAAATTCAAATTAACCCATTCTTTAAAAGCATAAAAAACCATATGGAAATTAATTAAATTTAAAATTGAAAAATAATGTTGATAAATATGTATAATATACATTGTGTTTACACATATAAATATAAAGGATTATTCTTTTAATTTGAGATTTTTTAAATATAATATAATTGGGCTTTTAAAAGCTACAATTTTCATTTGTCAGATTATTGATTGAATGATTATGATTCCTTTATTTATATAGATAATATTTTATATAATTTTTAGTTTTAATTGTAATTCATCTTCAGGTGTTGTTATAATTTATGTATGTATTAAATAATAGTCAAATTGAAACGATAATCATTTGTTTTTATGGTTTACTTTACATAATTTTAAATTTTAATTAATTTTCTCGTGGCGTACCGGGGTTAATTTCAAATTAATGAGGGAAAGAAGAAAGCAATACATATACATGGCACCTATAGAGCACATGCGAAAAGACGCAAAGATGCTTGACGTAATGCAGATGTTCCTTTTTGAATAAATATTAATATATTAGCTGTCTAAACATTTAAGGAAAAAATCGATGTTTGTGAACTTCATCGAAATCACAGGCGAGAGATCCTATTTTTTAATGGCCCGAATAGGGTCGAATTCCTTGCAACAATACACGCTCAGGGCAGGAACATCAACATCAAATGACCACTTCTAAGTTAGTACTTCACTCAAAGATGGTATGTAGTTTGTTGGAGTGGAAGGGAATTCTTTACAACGACCTGCTTCCCTCGGGTCGAAACGGTCAATCCGGTAAAGCCCACTTCCCAATTCGATTAACTAAACGCAACTATGACGGGAGGGAAAACAGCACTACTCGTCCGTAGAAACTGTGTGGCTACCTACCATAACAAAGCAATAAATCTCGTCATTGCCGCTGTGAAATTGTTCCATTCGTCAATTCCATTCTTCAAATTTGTTCCGGTTATTATTGATACGAAACAAATATTTTGATCAAAGGAGAAACTCTGTAGTACGAAATAGAACACACGAAAAACAAGGGAAAAATTTAAATTATTTAATTAATTAGTTAAATTAGTATGGAAAAAGTTTGTGAAAGGTTGAAGCAACCTGCAAAGAGAAAAATCTCGAATATTATTTAGAGTGAATTATTTTTTAATTCAATTGAAAATTGAACCTAGTACAATAGGGACCTTTTTATTCAATTTGGGATGTAGGATATCTTCCTGACGTATTGACGACTGTTCTCGGGGCACCCTGTACATATGGCAAAACTTGTAAATAGTGTTTTTTCCTTCTAACACTCTTTCTCTATTTAACCACCAAAAACCTCTTCAAAACTAAAAAAATCTCTCACAATTTGACAAATAAAATAAATAGAAATTTCAACGGCCAAGGGTAACTCAAGCTGCTGGAGCCTTACCGATCTCTGTTTGCTTCCGAGAACCGGAGGAACCCTAAATATATCATTGGGCCAAAAGGGTAAACCGCAAAACCAGCACCGGCCTAGCAGTGAGTAATTCCCTCCCTTTCGGAAATTTAATTCATTCTGACAATTTAAGTTTACCCTCTGGAATCTCCAGCGAAGGTTTAATCCATCATAAAAATTTCTACTGAAAAAAAAGGATGGAATGATAAGTGCGATGTGAAAAATAACACCGACTTGTAACATGTTAAAGGGGGAGAAAGTGAAGAAGGAATTACCACTAAAAAAAAGTGTATCAAAATAATTTTGACCATAAAAAATCCACTATTCACTCAGATTCTTTTCTCAGATGGAATTTTATTTAATAATTTCGTTTGCAAAATTATAAAATTATGCTAAAAAAACATTCAAAGTACCTCCATTGTCGTTCTGTTATTTTCATATATGCAAGAGGTATGCATTTTTTTTTGGGGGGGGGAGTTGAAATAGGGTAGAGAAGTAGCAGTCTCTAAGTGGCAATGCAAAGTTGAAGTTTGGGGGAAATAACATTTCTAAATGAAATTCCAAGTTTCTTGGATGATAGAATGAAGTATTATTACGATTATTGTGTAGAGATTAGTAACCGTTAATCGATAGTTATTCAGATATCGTGAGACCCGACCGCATCTTACGATATCTGAATAATTACGATTATTTTATAACGATTACAGTGCTGTCTTAGTAATCCGAACTTACATTTTTTTGCCTTATCTATGCATATTAACCATGGTGACGAATTCTTGTATGTGTGTTTATATTTGGGGGGGGGGTTATCGTGAAAAAAGGGCCAGAGGCGACGGTGGGAATCGAACCCACGACCGCGGCGTCGATGAGCCGAGAGTCTCTCACGCTAACCACTCGGCTACCGCGTTCCCCAAAACTAATCATTGATTACTGAAAAATTCGGATTACAGACGGTCGTTCAGCACACTTTATAAAAAAAAATGAGTCACACACGCACTCTATCTCTCTCTCACATTCACTCAATCAAATTCTCCCTCCTTGTCACCCTCTATCTTATATTCACTCAATCTTTATTTCACCCACTTACTCAATATCTCCCTCACATTCACTCTCTTACTCACCCTTTCTCTCACTCATTCTCTCTCGATCTCCCTGTTTTCCACTGTCTCCCTCGCACTCACTCATTCACCCACACACACCCACAATCACTCATTCACTTAATAAATCTCTCCCCCTTTCTCTCATACTCACTCAATCCTTATCTCAGCCACTTACTCAATATATCACTCACCCTTTCTCTCACTCTCCCCACTCATAGACTATCACTATTTCGCTCTCTCTCTCTCTATCTCAAACTCACTCACTCATTCATCCAATCTTAACTCCCTCCCTTACTCACTTTATCAATCTATAATTCACTCACTACTCTCATTCGCTCCCTCACTCTTTCTTTCACTCATTCACTCACTATCTCTACCTCCGTCTCTCATTCACCCTTTCTCTCACTTCCTCACTCTTCCACTCACTCATGCATTTTTACTTTTTGTCTCTATTCTCTTTGGCTCTCCCCCCTCTATCTCTCTCATATCGTCCCATCCAAATAATGTTTCATTTGGTCCCGTTAAAATTCTAACATGTTCAATGCACCACCGCATTTCAGATTATTTTCTAAGAGAAAAATCATCACTTCGAAATACAGAAACGTTAAGCAGACAAATCCTTCTGTTTTCATTATAAATCACCTCCATTTAAACAAGGCCGGAAGACAAACCGCTGTAACTATGTAAAAACAAGTTGTGTTTAGTAAAAAGGTAGAAAAATTGGTCGCCATGAAAAACCGATCAGCAGACCGGAACAAAAAAGAAAATGTTTCACCAGGCGGGTCAGTTATTTTTTTTGAAAGAAAAGAGCACAAGTCATAAGGGAGAAAACTATGTGCCGTGTTAGGCGTTCTTACGCGTCTATCTACTACAAACGGGTATCCAACATTTCCTTTCTATTTCCGATTACCTTCAACAAAGCCTCTTATTCCCGAATTATCCTTAATAGGAGACTCTATTTAAGTAGGGGGAAGAAGAAAACAATTAAACCTTAGACTTCCTAATACATAAATGTAGATACAGTTTAAGAATGTGACGAACACTAACCTTTTTGAGTCGGCCGTCGCTGGTGCCTAGGAAAACGACTGTGAAGTCACCGGTCGAAGTGGCCGCTACGGCTGTGAGATGCTGGTTGACCAGGAGGACGGGCACAGCAGTCATCGGGGTCTCTCCTCCCAGCGGAGTGTTCACATCGAGACCGCAGAAGTCCTCTCCTATCGTCTGAAGTTTCTGTAAAAAACAACAACAAAGTATAAGAGAAGAGATAAACGTGATTTTCTAAAAGGAAAAAACCCTTCCCGAGAGGTTTTAAGTTAAAACGTTGAGTTATTCGAGTTGGGCGAAGAGGCCGCCAACTTGGAATCAGATCGTTAGTATGCCACCTTGCAAGCGCTCTCGTGACCCTCAGAGTCGTTAACTGCACTTAAATTCAGCGAGATGCTGGAGATTCTACCAGCCCCTCGACTCGAAAACCAAAGGATAAAACAGTAAAAAACGACTCGAGAAGCCAATAATTCGTTCATTCGTAAAATATGGGATATTTTATGAAGACGTATTAACACAACAATTGTAATAACAATGGTAGAAAAAGACCGACCCGCCATCAATCTGCTCTTCTAATAAACGTAAAAATAACGTACACTATGAAACTGGGTGTATAATATTAAACCAAACAAACAAAAAAACAGTAGGAATAAAAGATAATTTATAAGTGAGAACACGTTAAACGCAGCTATTCTGAATCATGATTAAACTACAAGGTTTAGTTTGTTAATTATATAATGCACATCACGATTTCTATTTGAATACCAAGAACTAATAAAATCCAAGGGAATTGAATTCCATGAGGTCCTATAGTAGCGGTTGACGATAAAGCGAAGTAAGGAATAAATTGCTATTTCATTAAGTCCTGTACCATAATCACGCAATTGATCGCCTAGTTTTCCTTGCCAGGCATGTCTGTTCGCTTAACCAACTTTATCTGGTGAAACGCGCAGATTTGTGGGACATCACCTGTCAACTGATTGTTTGTAGGGTGTTTGTGAGGGAATAAGAGTGTGTGAGGTCTGGGAATAAAAGTAATTTATTAGCGAGAATGGAATTGGTTAAACTTCGCTGGGATGATTATCGAGTACCCTGGGATGAGTATGAGACGTCTGGAAAGTAAAAGTAAATCACTAGCGACAATGGAGTCGGTTCAACCCCTTGTGACCAGACTTCTGTTTGAGGTGATGTATATGTTATTTATTTCGGGCTGCTTTTCATTTTTCACCCCTGCAAAGTTGAAGCAGGTACCAAAAGGGAAAATCATGTTTAATTCACCGTGCCGGAATTTTCTGGCGATTCTTCTACGTAGAATTGACAGAACAGGATGGGAAAACCGCGGCTGCAGACGCTCGGTTTGGTTAATCGTCGTTTTATGCTTTCCATGAGGATTCAGGTAAACTGGCAGATGAACTAAGCTTGTTTTAATGAAAACTTGACCTTGCTTAAGCGTCTTTTTCAACTTTTTTTTAATCCATTATTTGTTGACCGTATTGTCATTTTACACAGTTTACAATTAAAAATGAATTACCGAATGGTATGGCGTTGGTTTGAAATCATTATGAAACGTTGGAAGGATAATCGCAATGCATAAAGGCTGTTAACGGTTGATCAATGCTTCCACATAGGATATTTACCAGGCAATAATGAGCCGATGCAAGGCCGATGGGATCGCGGCGATAGGACAATTTTCAACTGCCCATGTCGGGTATGGGTTAAGGACAAAAACGCACCAATAGGTTAGCCTAGTTGTTAATCTTCCCTCGGAAAAACCGAATGTTAATCAGGAACTTTATTTAATCCTTTAAGGGCTTTCCTAGAAAATCCAATAAATCTGTCGTTTCACCTAGAGAAGACCCACCCACCCAGTCGACGCATCGATATAACCCTTTTCTAAACAACGGTTACGGTTTATACTTGGTAATTACAAAAGCAATTTCCCCATGGTTCCTGGAGGTACTTTATACGTTCAATTTGGTATAATAAAGAAGAGCTCGTAAAAAAATTGGGGGAAAACTTTATTATAATCGTACCTTATAGTCGCGCTACATGCTTGAAAGAAGCTGAAATCCTGGCAGATGCATTCACGCGCAGTCAATTATATAAATAAAAGGTGTGAGAAAAAGCTGAACGGGTACTTCAGTACGCAATAAAAAAGACATATTTTAAAAGAGAGAAAAATACGGTTCTTGCACTTTTTGTTTCATTAAAAGTGAAAAGGAAGGGGAAAAGGTTATTACGGAATAATATAACATCCACTTATAAAATATACCCTTTCCCTCTCTTGGTACACCCTTCACTCTCATTATCACTCTCAATTACCGAAGTTTACGACGAGATATAGCAAGTAAATAATTGTGATATTATCTTCTGTCAAGGCTACCAAGGAGCTTTAAGCCAGATGATAAAACTTTGTTTCATCCTGGATTGATTGTCCTTTTGATTCATGATTTATTTCGGCTCCGCTTCTAACTTTCCTCATTTCAGAAATTTCTCTCAAATAGCTTCTTTCCCCCACACAAACATTTTTTCGGACAATAATCATCAGTTTAGTCTGGGTATTGCCAGACTGGTGAAACCCAGTACAAAATAATAAGCTATAAGCCCCGCATAGGGTTATAAATAAAAATGAAATGCAAATTGCAACCACGCACACTCATTCAAAGAGATGAGCAATTCTTTCTTTTATTATCTTAAACTGGTGTTTAGCACATGACGATTTACTACCCTCCTGTCCAATTGGGTTGCTTTAGTGGCCTGCAAAACTTGGCAAGGTTTTTTTTTATAACATCCAGTTTATATTCCTTCCTATTCCCAAAACAATCCACTTTTTAGCGAAACGGTTAAACAAAAAGGGACCTATATTACTTTAATAGAAGACCATACCATCACAATTTTAAAAAAATATCTTAAAAATATACTTATATTTTCTTGGTCGTTTTGATATAAATAATTGGTTATATTTTAGGAAAACCCTTTAAAAGATATTTCAGGAAGACAAACCGCTTTTGAGACGAATACTTTTTAGAATTAACTTTCTTTTTGTCTAAGGTCTTGGTTGAAATGTACAAGTTTCACGAGCCGTATTCGAACCCACGACTTTCGGCTCAATATGCCGCTGCTCTAACCACTTGAGTTATCGTGACCAGTGGTTACAGCAGCGGCGTATTGAGCCGAAGGTCGTGGGTTCGAATCCCGATCGTGACACTAACTAGAATAATTAATACAGTCAAGTAAGGCCGCAACAAATCGATTTACAGTTCATTTTTGACACAATAAATAACACAAATGTGTATACTACATAAGATCACAAATTTAAAAAGATAATGACGTATTTATATATAAGAATAGACAGGTAAATATACATATTAAATTAAATAATACATTAAAGACTAATACCCCCCTGCTGAGTAAGTTTTGAATGACGTCACAAGGTGTTTTCCTGAAGAGGTCGGTTTTTGATTATTTAGGTTTACTTATCTTCCTTCTCTCCTGTTTAATAAATGTAATAAATTATTTTGAATTTATTTATATTCAATTTTTTACTTTTGTCTATAAAAAATGAAGCGATTTATGAAAAATAAAAGGCGCAAGTATACTGAAACTATGAAAAAATTGTTGAAAGTCAAAATTTTTTGTCTAAATTTCACAAAGTTGTCAAAACTTTTCTCGTCCGACATTTCTAAATGAAACTTCACCAAAGTATTAAAACTTTCCTTTTGCTTATAAAAAAAAAAATGAAGAGATTGACGACATATAAGATGTGCACTGAAACTCTAGAAAAATTGTAGAAAGCCAATGTTTTTAAGTAAATTTCAAGCAGTATTCAAAATTTCCGATCTTTTTTAATCAAACTTCACCAGTTTGCCTAGTTGTTCACAGTTAGCTGGAGTGCACTGAAAGTCTAGAAATGAATTGTACAGTCAAACATTTTTACGTAAATTGCACCTAGTTTAGAAACATTTTCTGTTTCTACATTTCTAAATCCAATTTCACCAAAATATTAAAACAACAATTAGAAGTGAAGTGCACAAAATAATCCTTTATTTATCATAGACGCATAACTGACTTTAACCTTTTTTAACTTTCGTTTATAAAAAAAGAAATGTACACTCAAATTCTAGGAAAAATTGTAGAAAGTAAATGTCTTTTACGTAAATTTCACGCAGTATTCAAAATTTCCGATATTTTTTACTCAAACTTCACCAAAATATTAAACGAACTATTAGAAAAGAAGCCCAAAAAATAATCGTTTAATTATTTATAACAGACGCACTACTGACTTTAATTTTTTTTTAATTTTTTGTTTATATACATTTACAAAAAGAAGAGGTTGATGAAATATAAAGTGTGCACTGAACTCTAGAAAAGAATTATAGAAAGTCAATGTTTTTACTTAAATTTCACCCAATTTTCAAAAATTTTCTGTTACGATATTTTTTAATCAATCCTCCCCAAAATATTAAAACAAATATTAGAAGTGAAGTGCAAGAAAAGAATCGTTCAATTATATATCATAGACGCACTACTGAGTTTATCAATTTTTTTTTAACTTATGTTTATATAAAAAAAAGAAAAGGTTGATGAAATATAAAATGTGCACTGAAACTCTAGAAAAGAATTGTAAAAAGGTCAAACGTTTTTACTTAAGTTTCATCTAGTAATCAAAAAATTTCTGTTATTTTATTTTTAAATCTAATTTCAGGAAAATATGAAACCAACTATTAGAAAAGAAGTGCCAAAAAAGAATCGTTTAATTATTTCTTAATGCCGCACTACTGACTAATTGGGCGAATTGCGTTTGTTAGAGATGAATTTCAACTTTCTCCCCACAAGAGCCCATACTTGAGGATGATATAAAGGTCATCGGTCTCGGCCAACGCCGTTTAAACCTACACTTGGTACAATGTCGAACCGCGTTCGATTTTCAGTCAAATCGGCTGTGTTTTCGAGGATTTCTCTTTGGCCAAATCTCCTCATCTGAGATGTAATCTATGCCAAAAGTCGCGGAATCGTTTAATTCAACCTCCGGGAGCGGCAGGTCCCCATTTTATTCCACGTACAACCGCATCGCTTAGTCATTTTACTTTTCAAACCTCTCCCACAATTTATGTACATCATTCATGAGTCGCCTTTAAAGAGGTTATTATACCCTAAACCTGACGTCACTATAAAAATAAAACTTT